CTGCTACCGCTGCTGCTACCGCTACTGCTACTGCTACGGCTACTGCTACTGCTACTGCTACTGCTGCTGATGCTGCTGCTGCTGCCGCTGCTGCTGCTGCTGCTGCTGCTGCTGCTGCTGCTGCTGCTGCTGCTGCTGCTGCTGCCGCCACTACCACCACCACCACCACCACGACTACTACTACTACTACTACTACGACGACGACGACGACGACGAAGTACGACGTACGACGACACGACGACTGCTGCTATATACTACCACAATCACGCTTACTGCTCCTCCTGCCTGCTATTGCTTCTTCCTCTTCCTCCTTCCACCACGGCCATGACGACTATGCTGCGAATGCTACGATAATTCGTGCTACTCATAAGACGATGTGGACTGTGTTGACGTGTTTTTTCTAGACAGTGCGTGCTCTTATCGTTTTAAGCCCATGAAGCTAAGGAGCATAATCATGTGTCCCATCTTCGAGTCCCCGAGCAGTAGCCTTGGAGCTTTGGAGCTTAGCCGTTTGCCCAAAGCGGGGTCAAAGCAGTGGGTGGGGCTATGCCGGTCTTGCCTAACACGATCGTGATAGGAGCTGGAGCCTAGGGCCCCGAACGCAGCAGAAACCGGGATGTTAGCAACAAGAGAAAAGCGTTCAGCAGACAGCGTGAGGGCGCCATCGGGAGCTACTGCTCCCCATAAACCTAGCGGCACTCCCAGTGCCACCAGCACCTCGAAGAGACCGGCAAGGCGGAAAAGCCTTGGAATTGAGGGCTTTAGGTGCTTTGGGTGCGGCTTAGAGCTTATGGGCTTGGGGATTGAGGGTTTGGGGGTTGGGTTTTTGGTGCATTTGTACTTCAGGCCGGGCGGCATCACCACAAGGAGAAACGCCTGGGGGCCGCCGTAGTAGGACTCGAGCTGCAGAGGGTCCATGATGGTGGTCATCCTTGTGAGCTCACTTCCGAAGTGAAGGTCAGGAATCCCTCAACCACCGCCGAGACACTGCTTCAAGACGAACGCGGGTGCGACGACAAAGCCACTCCCATGGCCCAGGTGCCTGAGCTGCAAAGCACGCTCAGCCCGAGCTGCCGAAGGAATATTCCTTAACTTCCGAATTCCGTCGGATCCCCGGTACCCGAGCTTCAGACCTGACCGACCTGACCGAGAACCAACTGCAATCTCCACCCCATGCCAGGGTGCACGAGAAGAGGGACGGCGAAACAAATCTTCGATAGCATTGCGAAAGGCGGCAGTCAGGGCCCCCCCCCCGCAAGTGGAGCGCCTAAGACCTCATCCTGGTGGCGTCTTGAGCCCGCCTAGAGAAGACTCCAGGCTGCAACGATGTCTTCACCCTGCGGCCGTCAGAACTTATGACTGGACCCGCTGGCCTCGAGGCCTCGATCTTGTGCTTTACGGTGTAAAGTCTGGAGACATGTGGTCATGGTTGAAGCCTCTCAAGGCTGGAAGGATGAGAAGGGTCGCATGTGGGCTACAATGTTGCATCGAGTTTGCATGAAGAGTCCCGATGGTACGAGGACCGATCCTCGAACAAAAAACTCAAAGCCTCACCTCGTTCGATTGAAAATCTTCCTCACCTATGCCCAAAACTTTAGACTCCAACTCACCCACTCCATCCCCCCACACCCACCCTCGGTCCTGGAGCCCACTCGAACCCAACATCCTGATACCCTGTAATTCTTGAACCCGATGCTATATAGATATAGCAGCCTAACAACGCATTGAAAGCAAAGCTCTCGGCTCAGCCCCCGGCCACACCAAAACGTCTCAGGGCCCCAGCAGGGTGCAACGCGGCTCGCCAGGCCTATGTTGCCATCCCACCATTCCATGCGAAGCCAGACTTTTATCAGGACTTCCGTGTCAAGCAAAATGTAGCAGTGGTAGCAAGGTGCCAGCGCTGCTATTGGAAGACTGGCGGTAGTGGTCGTACTAGTCATCATGTGCATGCTAGAAGCAGCGATGTGGTTCGAATTCGAGTTCGAATGCAGGCTGGCTGAATCGACTCGACCCTCGCCTCTGACTGCCATGTACTGCCCCTTGAAGCACTGGCGGTTCCTCGGTGCAGGTTGAGTTCAGCATGGTTTGTCCACAGATGTGTTGGTCCAGGGGCCTGTCGATAAAGTGCCCCGAGCAGTCAAGGCTCTTTGCTGTCAATGGGCCCAGGAAAGCCAGATTACCGATTCAACAGTCAAAGACTGAGTTTGATACCAGGCCCTCCTCTCAAAGCAGCACCATCAAGAAACTCAACAGCCTAGCCACGAAAGATTCAAATCTACTAAACAGCCTGGTGCTGCGGTTTTCGCCACGGTGCATTGCCAGGCGCAGGTGGCGAGGGAGCTCGGCACGGCGGTCTTCCGTCTCCTGGAAGTTCGTGATATAAGCTGATGTAGGTTTGGGGTTCGGAATTTGTAAGTAGTATCTGTAAGAAGCAAGGCTTGCAAGCGTGGGGTTTGAGGTCCGTGCTGAAGCCAGCAACGACCTTCCGCAGCATCCCAGAGTGGCAGAGTTTTTTTCTGGCATAGGAAACCCCCGTAACTTTGCCCAGGGGCTGCTTGTTTGAGATTGTGCAGCCGCTCGTCAAGCCACACCTGGGCTCCAGGGGCAGCTTGGAAATCTTTCGAGAGGTGAGCAAGCGTGTAGGCTAAAAAACTACAATTTATGCTGCGGATGCTTCAGATGAAATGATATGACAGGAACTCATCTGGCTGCTACACCGCAAGTGCTTGAAGTCTGTCTTGAAGATGCTTGGCAATCGAACCTAGTCTTGTTCATGACCCCAGAATCTCTCTTCGGGCCCAGGGCTCTGTCTTGATGCGCTCGCGAAAAAGTGCTACAAATCTGGAAAACCCGGATGCTTTCCCATCATCAGGCTAAGCCTGTGGGAAGTGCGGATGTGTTCACGAGAATGCTGAAGTCTCAATTCCCACACAGTTGAGCCCGACACCTCGAAACCACCAAAAACACAAACGCAGGCTCGGTCGCATCACGCGGATCGAAGCCGTCATTCCAAGTTGACGTGTTAATTTGAAGAAGAGTGCCGTGCTCCAGAGAAAGCCTTGACAAGCCTTTACAGTGCCAGAGAAATTCGAGAATATCGAACCAAAACCCTCGACCTGGAGACCTCTTGGCTCCCTAGACTACACTGCAAAGCCGTTTTTGCAAGCTTCCCAACTCAAACCCTTGAGGCCCCACCCGAAGCCTGGAGCTTCGCAGCACAGGGGTTGGGTGCCAGCCGTGCGTTGGTACCGCCGGATGCTTGCAGGTTGCAGCCTCGACGAGACTTGGCATTCTAGGACTCTAGGACTTGAGGTCAGGTCGTTCGTGTCTGCCCGAGTTTTGAATGCCGTAGAAACCATCGACGGTGTTTCTACAGGTATGTGCTTCTCTTGGAGCTACATGAACATTTTGCTCCGTGTAAAACTTTTTGTGGCACCAGCATGTACGGCTCATCTTAATCTTTGGTGTTTCGACTCAAGATCTCTTTTGCAGGGTTCTGCCTCCAGAACAGTCCCATGCTGGAACCTTCCAATGGCTCACCAAGCAGCTGAGCAGTAGCGTCCGCGTCCGGCAGAGGTGTCTCACACGAAGCTTGTCGGATCGTATCATCAGCACCTGGATCGAGTAGCACAATGAGATAACCGCCCAATTTAACCGAATGCAAAAACTGCCTGTCGCAACAGTGATGCAGCTTAACACCTGGCTGTACAAGTGCAAGCCGGAGCTCTTAAGGACACTAGTGACACTGTCGGCTCTGGGGGGTGGAATTCGGGCGCAAGAAACCGGGCTTGGGCCTTGCAAAGCTGGGCTTCTGAAAGCTAGGAAACCAGAACTGGCACATGTGTACAGTGTACGGTATCGGACATGGCAAGGCGGTTAACCTGTAGCGCCAGCACAAGGTTTCCCTGAGCTTGAGGCCCCGGCTGTCCCGGGGACAGCTGTGACCTTCAAAGCCTTCGCCTCCTCCTGGCGCGCGGCTATTGGCTGTATGCCCTAGATGCTTCGAAAGACGAGGGCACTGGAAGATATCGGGAGCTTCCCTTTTCTCCCCATGCCGTGACCCAGAATGTGGGGAACTGGTTCAGGTCGAAGTTTGAGTTCTAGCCTGGCATCCGTCACAACTACACTAACTACATCTAACGACACCACCACGGCTAGTAGTTCGAGTTCGGGTTGGCGGGTTGCGCACGAGGGCACGGGGGTTCGAGAGGCGGGGTGCGGATTTGGAGTTCGAAACTTGGCACCCTGTGCGCTGTTGTTCTGACGGGAATTGTCAAACTTCGAACCCAATCCTGACGCAAAACCTTCGCCTGCATGCAGACACATGCGATTCGTGGTCCACTGCATCGGGAATCGACGGCACCTGCACTCTACATCGCCTCGCCTGACACACGTGATTCTGGCCCTAGCGACCTCGGCATACGGCTTCAGCTCCATCTCACCGTAGCCCGGGCCGATGCACACAACACACAGGACCTTGCAGTGGGGTTGGCTGGAGGTTAGGAAATTTCTGCTAAGTCTAGACCTGCGGCCAGCAGCTATTACACTTCACCAATGACATACTTCTTCCCATCACCTCGACATCCTAACAAACAGCTGATGCCCTCGAAACCGTGAGTCCCAGGCCTAAACCTGACAAAGACGGACTTTGCTTTCGGGTTGGCTCGAGGTGTAGAGCAAAAGTTGTCGCTGGAAAAACCCTGCAAAGTCGGCGGATCTTCCTGAACCCCTGAACTGCAAGAAGCCCTCTCCTGCTTGACCCACTGGCACTGAATCCCCCACCCACATACCTGAGCTTTCGTCTCATGGAACAGGATCTGCAAAGTTTGATCCCTCATCATGTGAAGAGACTGTGCCGCATCATCAATTGGCCAGAGATCTATTCTGTGCACTAGGGTCCTGCTGCCTTGCCTGCCCTCGAGGCCAGAACGGCAGATAAGCAAAGAAGAAATTTAAATGGCATGTGTGTCAGCGGTCAAGCCACTGCCGGAGGTCTTCGCAGTGGTAACCGGGCTCTGACCAAATACCAACACACTCCGCACCAAGTTGCGATCAGGCTGCCTCTAATCCATGGGGCTCTTGAAGTTGCTCACCCATTTCCACCTCACTGTGCCACGCCTCAATCGATCACGGGCTCGACATACGGTGTCCATCCACTCCACAGAACAAGTCCGACATCTCGAGGAGACAGTCGTACCGGCGTCCGGACTATACGTCCGCACTTGTCAGCACTTAGACAGTTGTCCGAGCCGACGTCGAGGAAGAGCCACTTACAGACGACCAGATTCAGAAGCAGCATCTTGGCATCGTAATGATCGCCAACCTTGCTTGCGGCAGGTCCTCACCCAAAGAAAGGCACCACCACGTGAGATTCGACGAAGCCCTTGCCCTTTGTCCACGCCGCTTGTTCCTGAGCCGCTTCTTCCTCTTCTCCACGAGAACCCTCTTGCCTCGAAGGCGAGCAACCAACGCCGACATCCGAAAAGGACGTGACGTCCTGGTCGAAAGCGGAGAACCTGATGTTGCGTGAGTGAACTGGGGGTGCCAGATCCAGATCACTTCCCGATCGGGCCCCAGCTCACGCATGGTTGCCCGCTTTCGACCAAGACGTCAGCACACGCAAAAATGTGCAGTGCTTGCCTTCTAAACGAGTTTGCAGGTGTCGTGGAAAGCAAGTCCTGACTAGGCCCAAGCGCATGTTGAACTCAATCGCATGCACCGAGCCGATCGAAGGGCTGATCCCCATTCTTATGACCCTCCCGAGCATCTCACCAAAGACACCTGCCCGACCGGCAAGGATGCCGAAAAGACGGCCTATCCAATGTTAAGCACGTCGACGTTGAACGCGTCCGTTCCAGGCGCCCCAAAAGCTGTCGACCAAGCTTCGTTGCCTCCAACCTCGGTGCACCTCGTTCGGCTACGGCAAGGCTCCTGCGTGAATCCTGATGAAGGGGACGGGAGATCGCCTCCCAGTCGAGCCGTCGGGCAGTTTTCGACCCCTGTTACCGCGGTCATGCAACCATGTTGGTCGACGTCGTTGACATGAGCGATGGAGCGTATTCGATTGCAAACGCGGCATTGCTTCAGAGAGATTGAGCTGGTTCATTAAACATTGCATGACCCAAACCTTGATTCCAGTTTTTGTTGCTGAGTCACAAGTCCGTGTCATGGGGTCTCTCGGTGTGTTGGTCGCGAAGATAGGTGAGAGGGATGGGACAGAACA